CAGACCAGAGAGACACACATCTATGTTCAAGGTAAACGTGTTATAAATGTAAGGTTTGTTCACAGTTTTCAATCCAGTGAGGTTAAATGTTGTAAACATGTCAGATTTTATCTTTTTTCTTTTTCATTTCAGATACATTTTTCGATTCCAGTGCTGCTACTGTCACTGGTTTGGCTGTTACTTTGGCCATCTCCCTTTTAGTTAATCTTTTGTGGTTTTGTGTGTGGTGTTGTCGTCGCTGTAAATGAATTTAGAACTGCAGTTACATTACACCCTCTACACTCAGTCGCAACCTACACATGGAGGCTTTTATTAGCATACAGGCACTGAACAGAGAGTGACTGTATCAGGAATAACATATGAAACGCAGACAAGGCTACAACCTAAAGGTAAATACAGACACAGAGATGCTGAATAATACAACAGACTGTTTCGGCATATATTATATGTTATGAGTTATTCATGGACATCTATCCAGGACATCAGAGATACTACTATCTATGTTAAATTGCACCAATAAAAAAACACTTCATGCGGTAATTCTTTAGACAATAGGTTCCATTAACATTTATTAAAGATCTCATAGCTGCTTTTGCTGCCATCAGTAGAGTTTATGTACAACACTGACTAGTGAAAAGACTGAAATTCAGCATGTCAGAAGAGAATATACAGTTTGTATATGGCAGCTTAAAAATGCTTTCTCAGGGCCAAGAACTGATCCAGTTCCATGTGTGAATACTTCCAAACTGTTTCTACAGTTCATGAACAGTGCATCACTGTGTCACTTTTGATTGTTCATAAATTAAATGTTCATAGATAGGAAATGTGTGTATTACAGTAAGACATGAGTAGTAGTAGAGTTCACAATATGAATGTATATGACATGTGGTCTGAATATTATTATTAAACACTTTTTTATCTAATCCTGTTGTCTCTGGTTTGTTATTAATGAACTATAATACAAATGAAAAGGTCAGTGAAGGTCAGATAACCATGAAGTAATGAGGGACCATGTTGTAACTTCTCAGTATAATGTATTACCGAATGTTAGTTAAATTAGTCATTCATAAGTATTTTTTTGCTGAAGCAACAAATTCAGAGTTAACCAGAAACAATTTAAGTAGAAAGTGGTTCACAGAGCTTCATTAGAACAATATCTTAAAGATTGTTCACAAGTAACCCATCAGTATCTACTATATAGTCCTCAAATATTAATGGGAGTCATTGGTATGGACATTTTTAAAATGGCAGATAATTTGCTTTTGGTTTTAAAATAAGGAGGGAAAAAATGCTAGACGGACAGAGATCTCTGGGTTTATTTCATGAATACCATATAGGAGGATTTATTTAAAGAAGAGGTGGAAAAAAACCTTTATATAAAAAATACTAATACAGAATATAAAAACAGATAATAAAAATACAATTACAAATACAAAAATTCTAATATGCTGAAAAGCTAAAACCAACTAAAGCTAAAAATCTTTACTTACACTATGCTACTCAGACAACTAAACATTACCAAATCCCAGATTATAAAAAAGTCCCAGATAAGATTCTATTCATTCACAATTATAAACAGTATACGCAGCAAATATAAAACCGATGTGGAAATTAAATAAAGAGCAGGACACATTTGTGACAAATAAACAAATATTATTTTGTTATTTGTAGGTTTCTGTTTTTTATGTTAAGTGTTATAATCTTTACACGATTTATGTCCTTTCTTTTTTCAAGTGAAGTTTTTTTTCTGTTCTTGAAGCTCTTGATTTTCTCTCCTTGTTGTTTCGTGCTATGTACAGATGTCCACTGTGTCTTCACTTTCAATGTTTTTACTCTGATCTTCTCCTTTATCATTTGTAGGTTTTAGTTGATCAAGCTTAGCCTCTGCTTCTTCTACAGCCCCGACTGTCTGCTGACCCTGAGCTGCTGTTTCAGTGTTTATAATATTTGATATTTCTTCTCCATTTCTCGTGTCCTCATTCTTCTGTGGCTGTTTGTGTTCCTCCACGTGTTTTGTACCTGGAGGTTCTGCTTCATTGCTCACAATACTGACTTCATCCTCAGCTTTGTTTTGGCTCTTCATCTGAATCTCATTTCGCTGTCGTTCTCCTTCAGTTGGACTCTGATCTGCTGGCTTGCTGCCTTTATCTTTCTTTTCAAAATCACTCGGTACTGTTCTAGCTGGGGACTGATCTGTTGATTCATCCACCGGAAACTGAACTGTGCCCACCCCTCCATCTCCACTGTCACTGTTCTTCAGGAGGTGTCTTCCTCCCTCTGGACATTGAGTGTCTCCATTTGTCAGGCTCCTCTCTGTCTGTCCTTCTGACTGGTTGAATTTATTCTCTGTCCCTCCTCCTGTGGGATCTTTCCGTTGTGTCTCTGCTTCAGTTAGACTCTGAGCTGCTGGCTCGTTATTTGTGGGTGGTGTTTGGTCTTCTGTATTTTCTGGTGTGTTTCTTACTCCTGGATCTTCTGTTTTTCCACTCGTTGAATTGGCCTCTTTCTCTTTGTTGTACAAATAATTACTTGTGCCTCCTCCTGCTTCTCTTCCTTGCCAAGATCTGTCGATGCTTCCCCTTCTGTCTGCAGTTGTTGTCCTTCTCCATCCATCTGACCTGGACCTGTTTCACAATTTACAGACTTTGTTCCCTCTCCTCCATTTATTGTATTATTCTCTGATTTCTCTTGGTGTCTTTGTCTTTCTGCTGGATTTGGATTTTGTATGTCTTCTGTCATCGATTTAGGCTCTTTCTCTCTCTTGTCCAAATCCTTTATTGTGTCTTCACCTTTCTGGACCTCATGTTGCTGTTTTCCACTGCCCCCTACAAATAGTGACCCTGTCCCTGTCCCTGCATCTGATTGTTTCTCCATGCTCCCCTTTCTTTGGGTGATAATATTGTTAATTTTGCTTTCTGTATTGTTCTTCTCTTGCTGTGTTTCCTCTTCTTTTGGACATAGAAGTGCTGTTTCTACACCTAAGGAAGTCTTATTTCCTCCTTCTGCCTTGTTCTGACTCTTCATTGTTTCTCTTTCTGCTGTCACGTTCTCTCTGTCTGTTTTTCCTTTCATCAAACAATGCTGTTCTGACTCATTGCTCTTCATCACTCTTTGTCTTGCTGTTTCTTCATCCACAATCTCTGTGTGCACAAACAGTAAACAGTATTTAATTTTTACCATGATGATTTAAAACTGATACCAGCACAAAAATATCTATGATGCAAAAATATCCTGATATTAATAAATACATTAATTAATGGATACTGGATTGACAAAATAAATAAAAAACAATGTGTGCCACTCTTGAGCTGTTTTTTCTATAAGATTGTCCCTGTTGAGTTTATCTTGTTTACATGCAATAGGAACATGTACATGACGGTGACGCAATACATGGACCTGCCAGTGGTGTCACACTATCCCACCAATCAACAGGTGGCGGTAACATGCCAAGTAATGCTGAAAAGCATCAGTAAAGGCATGGGAGAGGAAGACTGCAAGCTAGTAAACATATTGTAAATAACGCAGGATTTTAAATATTTAAAAAATGAACTCCATGTGTTTATTCTGACTAGGGATGTCATTTCGATCTCAACAATCGGTATTGGTGCGGAGCAGGGCATTTCTTAACTGATCAGTATCGGATCTTTTGTTTTATATCAACAGTCTTTACTCACAAAGCATTATAAGCTTAAATGCATACATTTCTTCTTGATGCAAAAAAGATTTATTAAATTGTCAAGTATATTGGATTTATTTTAGTAACTTTAATGAGCTAAACATAACTTGATTGGGTCATCCCTACTTAGAAACTCTGCTAGCTTCGTACACACATGTGTGACACAAGAGGCCAATGGCTATGCAGCAGGCCACAGTCTGCAGAGTTGATATGTTGGTGGGGTGGGTTGGTGATGGAAGCTGCCACCACACGTCAGCTAATAGCAAAATTCTAATGCGATAGGTTGGCCTTAACCAGTGGAGGGTGATCGCTATGCATATTTATCGTACAACATGTAGAATTCAAATCAATTTTTAACCAAAATACCAATAGTTGTGTTGTAAATATGTGTAAGTAAGTATTATAATAGCAGACTTATATTGACTTACTGATTTTGTTTTGTCTCCATTTCCACACAACAAAGACAACTGCAAGAATGAACATGATGCCAACAAACAAACCAATGATGGTATGAGCAGATGAACTAGATGAGTCCATAAAATCATCTGAAATGATAAAACAAAGAAAACATTTAAACTGAGTATCAGCTTTTTGGAGCAATGAGTTTTCATATTATACATAAATCAAGTATCAACCTGGAACATAGATGTGTGTCTCTCTGGTCTGGTTGATGTCCTTCTGTTGGACTCTACAGGTGAAGTTGTTGCTGTGTCTCTTCTACCAGATACCAGCCTTTAGACTTACATTCTAGCACTCCACTGCTGACAATGTTTATGCCAATCTCAACACCTAATAACAAGCAAGAGCAAAGCCATACAATAATTAGCATAAGTTTATTATACAGTTATCCATGCACAAAACAAGACAAACAAACAAATGTGTTTTATACAATTAATCTCCTAAAAATTATGAAACATATAAAACATATGTTCTAAAAAACATGCTTTAATGTTCACTTACCAACAAGAAGCTGAATATTAGAGTCTAAATTTAATTCTGGCATGTAGCATCTGTATGTTCCATCATCAGAGAGTTTCACTTTGGACAGTTTCAGTGAAATGTCTCCCAGTTTCAGCCTGTTGATGGACACTGATGTTCTTCCCTTGTAGGATGGATTTTGATCAAATAGATGGTCTTTCCCAGACCGCCTCAAATGGACAAATCTGGGGTTAATATCAGGTCTCGACCACTCCAGTAACATGTCAACTGTGTCCCTGTCAGGTTTCACATGGCATGGCAAAGTGATGTCATCCCCCACCATTGCCACTATTGGCTGAGGTCGACCAATCTCCTGAGACTGACCTGAGGAAGAAAAACTGTTTTGATTTGACTAAACTTGACTAACTTGACTACACTCAAAAACAACAGGCCCGCCAAAGATTGCTGAGAGCAGCACATTGTTTTTCTACAGTTTGATTGGAAATGGAATTTGAAGCACATGTTAAAGCTGCTTCTTTTTCCAAGCATCTGTTTAAAACGTGATATTTTTCTGGGGTGAAGAAAGACAGAACAAGAATAGAAGAAAGAAGAAGACACACTGTTTACCATGCGCCTTGGGCTAAATGCGAACAGCCTCAGATGGGAATCTCATTAGTTTTGTTTGGGAATAATTAATATTTTGACCTGATGGTGGTGCTAAAGTCAGGGGAATACCAAAATCATTAAAATATAAGTGAAAACTCGGACCAACTAGGCGGCACTACAAGAAAGGTCAGAGGATCACCAAAATCAACAGGATTCATCCTTTGGACATTGTGAGTATCTGTACCGAATGTAATCAATCCCATAGCTGTTTTTAGATATTTCAGTTTGGATTGCTGTCTGACATTGCATCCCTTGAGGTATGCTGGTAGCATGGCTAAAAATACATCTCAATCCAATCCAACCAATAATAAATGCATGCACTTAACACTGGACTAACACCATATTTAAAAAGTATACCAGCAACACGTAATCATTTCAATAAATTCTGCAAAGCAACACACAGGAGCAAGTTAATGATAAACTTGGGTCTGTACTGCCCTCAACACAAAAATACAACCCAGACGTTATCTAGGTCAATAAGTTATCTACCTCACCAAAGTCAAACCAACGCTATCAGTCATAAACAAAAGAGACATTTTCACTTTCAGTTTGACAACTGCGCTTATCTGCACAGTGAGAGCGTGGCACCCCCACTGCCACAGGTGAGAGTATTTTTGCTTTCAAGGCCGCTCTGCCTTTGGGAAATGTCTGTGACACAGAAATATTGTGGGACATATAATGGGACACTGCTCAGCAAATCTTTAATGTAGTAGGAAGCGGTATGTGATCTGGTGGGCACTGACCCTACAAAGTCTAAAGGCAATGTTAGTATCCGTAAAAACCCTAATGTAAAATTGAAAACAAGAGTAAGTTTGTAAAAGTACAGGAAAACCCCTGATAAGAAATATCATTGCCAACACAAGTTATTTAGGGGAGATTCCATAGTGTTAACTAAACAATGATATACAACAGACAGCTATGTGGTTGGTATGAAATAGCCGCAAACATTTAGTATTTGTCAGAAACAGAATCTGGTTTTCTGTATAGATTGCAAATTGGCCATATGCCATTTAAATTCAAAAGGCAGTGTTAGTATCCATTAAAATCCAAATGACCTCAGATATTATCATCTGCTCTGACTGAGCAATTGTGATAGTCTATTTAATAACATTTATAGTGATCATTTTTACATACACTCTGACCACTTCAATTGGCATACCTGTATCTAATGCAATCGCATACAATGGTCACTTTCAGGGAGGTGTTCATTAAAACGTACTGGGGTAATAGGAGGCGTTTGTTTTGTTCACCCTAGTATTTGTAAGGTTTTATAACACAGTACATTATACAGTAATGATCTTTTATCATCATATTTATGTATACATTACCTCCATGAGAGTGTGCTAGGAGAAGGAAGGCAACAGCTTGATGGAAAATCAAAATGCTGAAAACACTGAGTGCAGATTTGCACGTTAGTCTGGCTCCCTGGCAAGACATCATGAAGGGCTGAAAATCAAAATAAACCACAGAATAAATCCCTATAATGGATCTTGTGTGCATTTTTTTAAACATTCTCCAACATATTGGTCTCTTAAAACAACAGAGATTCTGGTCCTTCCCACATTGCCTTAAAAAACTTAAAATAATTTTTGCAAGTCAGCCTGCTCAGGCAGGGGTGAAATATGAGTCATGTTCAATAGAGGACCATAAGTGGCGGCAAACATGTTTTCATTCCAAAAAGTAACATTTATAAATATAAAATATATAAAATAAAAAATCATTACTAAATCAAAAGTCAAATCACAGCAGGAAAAGTTTAAAAATGTGAAAGTTTGGAAGCGATTCTTACCTTTTGAATGCTTTCTCAGCTAGTGAGCTGCAGGCGGTCAAAGTCCATGAATCAAGCGCACTGTGCCTGGTCTGTCTTATCTGCAGTCTATGTTTAGCCTATTAGATTCACGTCATTAAGAGCTGCTGTAAAAAAGGTTGAGGCACGTCAGTATTAATAGTTTTGTGTTTTTTGTTGTCCTTATACCCAGACTTACAACTATTTAGGGAACCCCTTAATTTATACTTTTTTATTTTTTGAATATATATATATATATTTTGTGGTTAACAAAGAATAACTTATTGCTCCACAGTTTTAAAAAAAACTTTTCAAGCTGCTAAATGAAGTGAGCATTGATTTACTATAATACATGTGTGAATGTATGTGCTGTAGACTTTAGTTCCCCTGAAATTTGCTGTCAGTGTCTTTGTTAATGTGTTACATATAAAATGTATAAAAAGAGTCTGACCTTTGATCCTGTTGCCAGGTAACTGATAACCACCATTATAAGACACTACACATAATAAGACCTGTAGCCAATTAAACAGCAGCCATGACTCTACAGTACAGGACATAAGGTCCTGTACTGTAGAGGACAGGACTGCAGGGGGCAGAATAGACCTTATTCATGTTCACACCATCAACGTCAGACAAATAGAGTTCCAATAGGAAGATACTTGACTCTTCTTGACCTATTCAAATTAGACTGGCTCTTTTCTCTTTCCTCATCGACGATCTGATGAGTGAATATTTGGTTTGTTTTGGTTTCTCCAATATTTCACACCCAGATGCCTGCACAATTATCCGTCATCCCCATCAAACATCATATAAATATTATGCCTGCTGAACTTCAGCATGTTACCATTGTCACTGTGAATATGTTAGCATATTGAAGTTAGCATTTAGCTCAAAAGACAGCTGGGCCCAACCAACCTAAAAGGACCAGCATGGCGGTAGCAGGGCTATAGACAACCCAGATTTCCTGCATCTTGCTTCCTGTGCCATGTTGCTGATGCAGTTTTTGTTTCTAAGTGCTACTGTTTTGTGCCCAAATCAACGATTCGATTATTGTTCTAGAGTGCATCTATCTAACAGAAGTGTTTGTAACACTGCAGCTAACACCTGCAATGAACTACACAGGAAGAGGAAGTTCTCGGCTACACTGTACTGTTTTTAGCTTTGATTCAGTCTGACGCTCAGTCAGCAGCGAGACACGATGGAGGTTACAGCTCTCTGCATCAGACTGTGTGAGTACTAATTTTGTCTTTTTCACCCATGTCTTATTACTCTATATGAATACAGTAAACAAAATAAAAATACAAATGATGACAGCATTAATGGGGTAGAGAAGGGTAGTGAGAGTGTTGATCTTGAGAATATGTTTTGATAATTCCATGTTTTTGGTGCACAAACTCTGATGGAAGACTTGAAGCATAACACAGTGCTATCAGTGAGTTTTATGTGGTCCCGTGGTTAGGTGAAGCATATACAATATATATTGTGAAAGTCCAATAAGGGATTTAAAGATGAAAAGATGTGTTTATCATGACTCTGTGCAAGATATGACCATACAAATTTGTTTTTTGTCTCTCCAGTGATGAACATTTTGATGTTGCTGGTTGCACATGTTCTGAAAAGTTATCCTCAGACATTTGGTAAGTAGCACTTAGTTAATCAAGTGTCACTTAAACCTTAACGCTAATGCTCAAGCCAGTTTTATCAAACCCTAACACAGCGATACCATTGAAATCGATCTAAATTATTTTCAATTATTTAGAGCACCAGTTAACTCACCGTTCCTATGTCCATATATTTTGTTATCTAAGCTCAGTCGTTTTGCAACTCTTGTTCTGTCTCTCCGTGTCAGATGGAGATTTCCGTATTGTTCCAACCAGACTGCAGCTCTTTGAATACGAGTCCGTCCAGTTTACCTGTGAGGGGTTTAATGTCCCAGCTGGATGGAAAGTGAGGAACATCAAGGACTTTGTTCCAAAATGTTCAAAAGGTACACTGACGTCAACAGTGAACTGCACCATTGACTATGCCTTTAAATCAGACAGTGGAGAATACTGGTGTGAAGGCGGAGGAGGAGAGAGGAGCAACACTGTCAACATCACTGTCACTGGTAAGTAGATTGTATTTCGACTTTAAGACCACAATATGTCAATGACAGAAATGTTAAAGTCCCTCATTCTGCACTCCTAAAGTATACTGTTCAATGCATTTCTGCTTCTGAACATTTTGTAATGTTGTTCAGCTGGTTCTGTGATCCTGGAGAGTCCTGTCCTTCCAGTGATGGAGGGGGATGCTGTCACTCTGAGCTGTAGAGTGAAGACTTCCTCC